CACCATGCTCAGCCAGGAAGGGACAGACCTTTAACAAGTGATGCTGGAACAATTGTTGATCATATTTTCTTTAAAGTAGAATTGGACTCCTACTTTGTACTAGCCACAAAAATCAAGTCTGGATGGGACTTAAATGTGAAGGGAAAAATTATGAAACATTTAGAAGAGAACACAATCTGCTTTTTGATCTTGGAGTAGGGAAGGATTTCTCAAATGAGGCACACAAACTTTAAACCATGAAGGATTTTATTGAAATTAAAGTATTCTGTTCATGAGAAACACGCTCAAGAGGATGAAAAGACAAAGCCCAAACTGGGAGAAAATATTCATCGCACATAAAATGGACAAAAGTATAGCTTCCAGAATGTAGAAATAACTACAATTTAATAATGACAAGAGAAAGGGGGGAGGAAGAAAGCAGGAAAGAAAATGGTCAAAAAACAGGAGCAAGTATTTCGCCAGAGAAGAACATGAAATGTTCCGTAAGCATAAGCAAAGGTGCTCTGCCTCGCTGCTAAGGAGGGAGGCGTAAAGGAAACCCCGGTGAGGTGCAGTTTCACGGTCAGCAGATGGGTGTTGCCTGCCTTTTAAAATTTTTACCAGATATTTGTGAGGGTATGGAATGGGGGAAACATTTATAACCCATTTGTAATTTGGAAAAGAATTCAAAGATCCCTAGTAAAGTCAAACATGGGCAAACATCACCACCCAGAGTTTCCATCCCAGATTAGCCAGAGAAACTCATATCTGTCCAGCAAGGCAGGGGTCCCCAACCCCTGTGAACCAGGCCCCACGTCAGGAGGGTAGCTGCAGGCTAAGAAGCTACATCTATATTTGCAGCTGCTCTGTACCACAGCTGCTCCCTACCGCTTGCATTGGATTCTCATAGGAGCAAAAACTCTATCATGAACTGTGCATGTGAGGGATCCGGTGGCCCACTCCTTAAGAGAATCTAACGCCTGATGATCTGTCACTGTCTCCCATCACCCCCATATGGGACCATCTAGTTGCAGAAAAATTATCTCAGGGCTCCCACTGATGCTATATTATGGTGAGTTGTATAATTCTTTCATTATATATTACAGTGTAATGACAATCAAAATAAAGTACACAGTAAGTAATAATAATGTGTTTGAATCATCCCCAAACCATCCCCTACCCCCTACCCCCAGTCCATGGAAAAATTGTCTTCCATGAATCCGGCCCCTGTTGCCAAAAATGTTGCGGACCGCTGCAGGAGACGACATGTACACAAGAACATGCATAACAGTGTGATAAGAGCAAAAGGAGACGTGGTCAGAAAAACCCAAAGTCCACCTGTAGGAGAATACAACATAGCAATGAAATATATGGACTACAGCTCTATACAACCATATGTATGAATCTAACAAATAGAAGCTTAAGTAAAAGAAACCAGTCCATTCATAGAAGAATGAACACAGTATGAGGCCATTTTTATAAGGTTCAAAACTGGATAAAACTAAACAATATATTGCTTAAGAATATGTACACTAGGAATAAAACTGTAGAGGAAATCGAGATAATGATTAACAGAAAACTCAGGATAATGGTTACCTCTGGTTGGGAATAAGGGGAATGTAATAATGAATTTAGCATGACGGGGTGTGTGAGATGAATTGCCTCCCCCTTCCCTGCAACAAATTCCTATACTGACGTCCTGACCCTGGTACCTTAGAATGTGACTGTATTTGGAGAAAGGCCCTTTAAAAAGGCAATTAAGGTAAAATGAGGTCATATTCGTGGACCCTAATCTGATATGGCTGGTGTCTTTATAAGAAGAGATTAGGACACAGTCATGTAAAAGGCCATCTGTGGACACAGCAAGAAGTCAGCTGTCTCAAAGCCAAGGAGAGGCCTCAGAAGAAACCAAACCTGTCAATGTCTTGATTTTGGACATCTAGCTCCAAAGCTGTCAGAAAATAAATTTCTGTTGTTTAAGCCACACACTCTGTGGTGCGTGTTATGACAGCCCCACCAAACTAATACAGGGGACTTCTAAGATTATAGAAATAGTCTTTTTCCAGCTGGGTGTTAGGTACCCTGGTGTTTATTTTATTGTTTTTCAAATTGTACTTATACATTTTATATACTCTTGGATGTACTTTCCGAATTAAAAAAAAAAAAAAAAGAACGATTACTGCCAAAGCGTTTCTGGCCCATTGGTTAGCATTTAATTGATTTATTCGGCAAGTGCAGTTCTTTAAGCATTCGATAAAAGACACGGTTCCATTAGGGTAATCAATATATCATTTTTAAGAAAAGGAATGCCGTATTTTACCAGTACTACTTCATTATCTTCAATGGATAACAATCAAAAGAAGATGGAACGAATACATGCTTTTAAGAGGTCTAAGGCAATTCATGGTCTTGAATTAAAATAGCTGTCTTTTCTCCCTCTCTATTGATTTCTCCTTTACCAGTCATACCTCAACTAATACACATAAAAGTCTTCCCATCTCTCTGAAGGAAAATATATTCTTCTGCAAGATGTTGACATTGGACTCTCATAACAGTTCTAATACTTTATGTGGAATTACTTCAAATGTTAATGCTTAAACTACGTCAATTCTTTGGGGAAAATGGATGTTGCAAATAATATATTTTTATTCACATATACAATTGTCAGGATTTCCTTTTAAGGTATGTGATCTGTGCATGGATATCTTGGGCAAACACAATTTGTAACTAAAGGAACTAAGTTATTTATGTTTACATACATATAAAACATGTAGTTATACACACACAAGTATACATGCATAATGGTGTTTGGACACATTTTGCCAGAATATTGTGACATTTTGTTCTAATGTTTTATTGTAAATATAATTAACAATCTTGTTTTTCACACACATAATTAATGAGTACATATTGTAGACCCTGGAGAGAACATTATGCTAGTGGTTGTAGTGAAACCCGGATGTCGGCAAGTATAGGCAAATATGCAAGAATCCCTGTGATGGACTCAAAAGCAAATATCTGTAAGGGCATAAGAACACGCTGACACTCTACACTACAGAGAAATGATGCATGTTTCATGGCATGTAGGATCAAATAGGAATATTAATTTTCCGAGTTGAGTAGACACTCAGAAATACATGCAGTTCTTATAAACACCAGACAGTATCAAAATATATAAATTTGATGGGTTTTGTAGTGTTTTGCTAGAATAAATCCATCAAAAACAAGACCTGTGAAAAGGCAGAAAATATACGTAAGAATTTCATGTATCTGAAATTCACCAATTTACCTCTCAAGCTTAAGTGACTATTTAAAATAATATCTTCCATCAGTGAAAATTGAGAAAGAGCCTCCTTGAAGCTCAAAAGAAAAAAAATCCTTGGGTTGGTACTTAATTTTATCTCTTGAACGCCCTGATAGTTAAAATAATCTATTTCTCAGGCAGCCATTGCATGATGTCAGTTTTAGGTCTTCATCACCGACTCAGAGCTGTCCAATAGAATGTTCCACGGGGATGAAAATGCTCTATGTCTGTGCTATTCCACGGTGGTGGCCACCTGCCACATTTAGTAATTGAGTCTTGAAGTGTGTCCCATATGACTGGTGAACTAACTTTTAAATTTCATTTTATTTTAGTTAACTGAAATAGCCATAGGTAGCAAATGGCTACCATGGGAGACAGAAAGACTACAAGAAGATGTACAAAGTGCTGCCCTAAAAACAAAGCAAAGAGAGTGTTTCAGCCTTTCTGATTCTACCCGTTATATGGCCTTAGTTAAGGCATGTTTTGCCTTTTTCTCAAAACTCACATGACCTTCAGTTATTGTAGGTTTTGTTTAAATTTTGTTTCATTTTAACGAATTATTTTCATGTTGGCTATTTGGAACCTACAAAATCTGTGTTATCTTAAAGTATACTAGTGTGTGGTTTGTTAAGTCATGGTATGGCTGAAACGTTATATATATTGTGAAAAGGTCTCTTGAGCTCTGGAGTTATAAGACCGCCTTTCAGATATGAAATATTAGAAAACTACGTCTAAACTTCTCATTCTCATGGCTTTTATACAGTAAGCGTAATACTGACATAACTGACAAGGCAAAGGCAGACAAAGTCCACATAACTGAAGGAAGCACTAATTGAATGTGGTGGTGATGATGTTTCAGCAAGACTGAGTCTCTACTTTCTGCACTCTGCAGTGCTGACCAGAAAGAGTGAGGTCCCCTTGAGTTTGTGGTGCTGTTCCATGGGATGACCCCCAACTCTCCCTCCAATCTTGTCTTTTTTTTCTTTTTTTTTTTTTTTTTTTTAGAGACAAAGTTTTACTCTTATTGCCCAGACTGGAGTGCAATGGCATGATCTTGGCTCACGTAACCTCTACCTCCTGGGTTCAAGCAATTCTCCTGCCTCAGCCTCCTGAGTAGCTGGGATTACAAGGGTGTGCCACCACCAGACTATTTTTTTGTAATTTTAATAGAGATGAGGTTTCATCATGTTGACCAGCCTGGTCTCGAACACCTGACCTCAGCTGATCTGCCCCCCCACCCTCAGCCTTCCAAAGTGCTGGAATTAGAGGCTTGTTTTCTTTTTTTGAGACAGGGTCTCACTCTGTCACCCAGGCTGGAGTACAGTGGCGTGACCATAGCTCACTGCAGCCTCGAACTCTTGGGCTCAAGTGATCCTCTCGCCTCAGCCACCCAAGTAGCTGGGACCACAAGCACAAACTACCATACCTCGATAATATTCTGATTTTCTTATTTTTATTATTTTGTAGAGACAGGATCTCACTATGTTGTCCACCTAGGCTGGTCTCAAACTCCTGGACTCAAGCAATCCTCCTGTGCCTGGTCTTTACTACTGCTAAGAAAACTTAATTTGTAGACTGTGTTGTGATGGCATTTGGCTCTTTCTTAGATTGACCGCATCATTTATTCCCTCAATTGATTATGCCTGTGGAGCTTATTCAGATATTTGTAAGTCAAAGCCAAACATTTTTCAGCTGATTTTTCTTGTTTATCTTTCAGAAACATCCAGAAGTGCTGAATATTCGAATACAACTGGAAAGCAAAGAACTGATCATAAATCTGGAAAGAAATGAGTAAGTTAATTCTTGTTTATTGCATGATAGGAGAAAGTTAAGACACCATGGACAGGAAAGTGCTATGTGATTTATGTTGGCGTTTAGAAAAACAGAACAAAATGCCTGGATTTGTAATCCAAATTTGGATTTGAGGCTAGAATTAACTTTAAAAAATTATCTGATGGAAAAATAAAGAATTTTATCACTCTATAAAGGAGCTTTATAACTTAGCACTATTTTTCATAGTTCTGAGGTTTTATTTTTTCAGAGCCCAATTGTTTAAGGATTTAATTTAAGCATCCCTATACTGTTCAAATAACAGAGTTTTATAATTAGTTGACATTTGACAACTCCTGGATTATATTAGGGGAAACAGCTTCAAACTGATAAAAATTATCTCCCCGAGAAATACCAAGAGTTTATCTTTCAAAGCTTATCTCCAGTGGTTTAGACTATTTCTTTCATCTTCTTATTTTAAAAAATTGGTCCTTTTATGGAAAAATTATATAAATTTCCAGAAAATGGCATTATGGCTTTTTCTGGGCCACTTGGATACTAGTATATATTTTGTATACCTTACTAGCAGAAAATTTTGTCTGCCTCTAAGCGTAAGTTAAAAACAACTAATTTTCTTATTCTTTACACCCTGGATATCCCCACAGATTCCTCTGATCTAAAGGATTCCTTAATATTCTATTTCATTAGTATCATAAAAGAAGAGCTTATTAGTTCTTCTAATAAGCAATCTGTATTTAAAGATAGAAGTCAATGTTCCAAGTCCTGCTTTGTCAAAATAGCAGTCTCTGTCTTCCAAAAGTACTGGTTTCTGTTCCTCACCCATCAGCAGGATGCTGATTTTTTTCTGAAACAAGAGTAGAGGTGAGAGAGCCTCACTGGGCTGAGTTCTGTCAGGGACTTGGAGTCCCAGAACCTGACTCAACATCTCCCTATAAACAAGTCAGATCATTTACTTGTGTCAGTGCTTCGATTTGAGTTTTTAGCAAGTCAGACGAAAGACGCAATCAACAGCCAGTCTGAATGTTTGATCTCTAATGTCACAATATATTAAAATGTATATAAAATCACATTACCTGCTTCCTAGGATCGGCAACCTGCCTTTTTGTATTTTTTTTACATGATTATTGCTTACCATTAAATGAATCAGAAGCTTTGGGAACAAGAAATGAAGTGTTTTTAGCTTTTCTTGTGACTTGATCTGAAAATAGAGGCTCAGGCACACATGTATTATATAATCAGGATTCCAGAGAGAAAACTTTGTGTTGCTTTTGATCTGTCTCTCTTAGCAAAGTACAAATTTTCATACTCTGTTTCGTCACATAAGAATATCAAGGGGCACCACATTTTTGTAGATTGTTTTTTATATATGGTTTTGAAAATATCTCAGTGTAAGAAAAAAGGTATTCCCTGAAAGATCAAAAGAATATGAGGCTTCTGGTGGGAATGCATTTTCTAGATGGACTTGTTGTGGTGGGCAGATGGCTTTAGGAGTTTTCTTTATTGCACCTGCTCCCATTGTTAGACTGTTGGAAGAAACGTGGTGCACAGCATGAGGGGAGGCTAATCTTGAACGTCTTATGGAGCATTATGACTGCAGGTAGAGAAGCAAAAATCGACCTCATAAAAACCTTAAGTTGTTTTTCCTATGAAAATAATATGCATACCCAGTGAAGAAAACTGAACATTATAGGGGGTAAAAGGAACAAAGAACCCTAAAACCAAAAAAAAAAAGTGCTCTTACCAGCAAACACAATCCAGTTAAGATTCTGGTGAATTATATAGATGGGGTTTTTTTTTTCCTTGTAAATAAGCCTTTGCTTCTTTTGTATTCTTTGTTGATATCATAGTCTATATGCAATTTTATATCCTACTTCATTGAGCTTCATAATGGACATACATTTCCATAGAGAAATAATTTCTCAGAGCCCACCTGGTTCTCTGAGTTTGTAAAGTGACTTAGTAGCCTTGTCCATGGTTCCCTCTGAAAATGATTTACCTTCCACTACTGCAGATACTAAAATATATGTTGACTGGTAGACAGTGGCTAATTTGTATAAATATCATTTTAAAGGTGACTTAATTTGCTCCCTTTCAATTCAGGGTCTTTCATGAGATAATCTCAAAATTATAAAAGTCAAACACATAAAACTATCTCTTTTTAATTTATGTCTCTCTTCCCAAACTTACTATCAGACTGCATTTTCAAAAATATATGGAGAATGTTTCATACGTTCCTGTGATAGTCTATAAGTTTAATTGCATTGTACCAATTTTAGAAATTCCCTTATATTAAGAGTAACATTTTCACAAGAGGATGCCAATATTACTATTTTAATGATGGATTACCCAAAATGCTTCAGTGTAACAATTTTTTTGCAAAAGGTTACATGTTTATTCCAAATGAACTATACTTTTGATGCAATGAATACAAAGAAAAAAATCAAGTAGAGTGAAATGCTTGTGTACTACTAACTGTGATGCTGTTAGACACAAAAGGCAATCAATCATTTAGTATATAACAGGATTTTTAATTTGCATAGCCATTGGCCCAGTAGATTTAAGTCAGAGAGTCTTCACAAATGAAGCTATAAGAACCCAGAGATAAAAATGTAAGCAGAGGCCATTTGCATGTTTAACAACCAGTACATTAGAGGGCATGACCAATCAGGATGAACCCCTGACCAATCAGAAGTCAAGCTGGTCAGTACACCGCACCAGCGCCCGGAGGCCCAGAGTCAGCCCTGTGCTCAAGGTTGTTTTACCTAAAAGTATGTTAATAGGAGATGGATTCAATAATCAGCTATGAAACAGGATACTATTCAACAATTAAAAATGATGAAACTTTTATTATTTAAAAAATTCATGATATAATCAATGTAACTAGCATGTTAGAAAATAGCTGTTTCCTGCTAGTGTTTATTATTTTTTTAATGAAAATAGCTTACATAGTATTCAATGTTTATTTAAAAATTATACACATGACATGTATCTCTGAGTAGGAAAATTATAGAAGCTATTTACTTTATTGTCTTAATGTTTTACAAAAATAAAATACTACTTTTAAAATAAGGAATAAACCCTTTTCTTTGAAGGAAAAAACATATCATAAAAATTTGGTAATGGCTAAAAGAAGAATGCTAACATATTTATTGTTCCTGAAAAGGAAATGATAAAGGTTATTTTGAAAGGCCTCTGAAAGGCCTCTAGTGACTTTTAAAGAGCAAATAAGATCTACTTGTTGAATATTGGGTCTTTAAATATCCAGAAACTTGCTGTAATTGAAAAACCTGCTTAGAAGCCACAACCTAAATTAAAGTAGTCCTAGTCCCTTAAATCTATAGCTAATGCTGAGAGTCATCTAATTAACCCTACTTAAAATGCTTCTGTGGTGAACTGATTCTTCATGGCACGGGGCTGAATTTTTATTAAATAGTTTTTCAGGGAATCTCTTTTATTTGCCTTCTAACATCTCTGATTTATGAAAAATTGGATGTTGTTCACTTAAAATCTGTATTTGTATAGCCATAATTGAATGTTTAAAGAAACGCAAAGCTTCCCCTGAGAAGCATTTTTCACAATATTGCTGCCTGCCTATGGACCTGCAGAAACCAAGTTTATAACTTTCATAACTCTACTGGATCCCCACGGACACTCAGGCCATCCCTTACACAGGTACTCTGTGAAACTATATCTCTGATGAAAATGTTTTAGTGTGCAGGCTGGCCAGCTTAGACATCAGTTTTTCCAGCTTAGGATAATGAAGCATGATGGCAGTAGATCACGCTCCCTAGGTCTCTCAATCCCAGAGCACCTTCATTTCAAGTCCTGTTCCCATCACTGACTGAAGGCAGTTGCCATGGGAGGTCCATGGCCCACTGAATTCATGTTAGGGGGGTATCTCTGGGATAGAGTAACTTCAGCATTGACTTATTTTGTCTGGAACGATTCCAGACATCTCTTACAGGGAAACTTTAATTAGTATTCACTCTAGAACAATAACAGAAAGGGCATTTTAATATGGCCAAACATGGACATAAATATTTGGAAATGCATTTATTTTAAATCGTCTCTCAGAAAATCATGGTGCAGAACGGAGAAATGTAGCCAGTGTGGAGATGGCATTAGATGGTTTACTTGGCTGAATTACCATCCAGAAGATACTAAGCCATTGGTCCTGTTGACCCAACCCATGTTGAACAGGGGCACTGAGGTCACTGCTGGTGGCCTTAGGGCTGTGTGCATGGCCTTGTCCTGGCCCACAGTTTCATCAGCCATCCCGATGAAGACATAAAAGGTGCTCTGATTACATTTCCTGGCAATGCAGAGCTGGGGGTGGATAACTGTGCTCAGCACGGCAAAATCTGGATTATGGAGATTTCAGCAGTTTGGATCAATGGGCCAAAACTAACAAGATGAGATTTAACGGGGATAAATGTCAAATCCTATGCTTGGGTTAACAAAAAAATAAACGTTGCAAGTTCAGAAGGAAATTTGTTAGTAGTTCTCATGAATGAGACCTGCATACTCAAAAGAAACCCCTGAGGCAGTGTGGCTGATAAAAGGGTGACTTCCACCTGAGTGTGTGGGGGTATATGTGGTGGGTATATGTGGTGGGTCCTAGGCAGCGGAGGTCATTCCTCTGCTACACAGGGTGAGACACAGCCAAAACCCTGCATCGTTCAGTGTTCCAAGCCCGACATCAGAGAGCCACCTGCTACTATATTCTCATTTCCATCATTGGATGTTCTGTTCCTTTCCTCCTCCACCGACCATGACATCCTTACAGTGAGGGACAGGGTCTTCACACCCTCCCTGACCACCTCCCACACAGCATGGCTCATAATAGGCACTTGAGAAACACTCGTCAAATGAGTGGCTGACAGAACCCAGGCAACCTGGACCAAACTGGAAGTGAGTTCCCAGGAGGTCGGAGGCCACCTGGGTGAAGTGAAAAACAATTCAAGGAGAAAAGCTTCTAGAAAGGAACATACGATTTGGAG